GGTTATTACGAGGATACCTCAAGATATTTAGAACTAATCAGCGAAATTCTTTGTGTGGAGTCCTGGTGGCAGCCATGTTAATTTTATTATTACGCGCTTAATCATTCCATATTTGCAATTTGCATTTCCTTATATGGTAGGATTGAAAATACCCCGTAAAATACAGAATAATTACGGCACGCTGTAACTTATGGCATTACGGTGACAGATGTATAATAATTAAAATTATTACATGACATAAAAAACCCAAGGATATGTGACCTTCAGGGGTCAAACAAATAACACATTAACTTACTTTCCAATTTCTTCCTTGATTTCATAAAAATCTCTGACTTTTCGATTTTCATCTACACTCACTATTCTCGGTTTAAATGCTAATTCATCATCTGTGAAAACAAACATAATTTTGTAGAATTTTTAAACTTCAATAAAATGGAGAAATTTGGCAGTCAAGAGTATATTAACACAAATGAAATTTTTCAGTTGTAACCCACTTGTCTCAAAATATCTGACATATTTTACCCAAAACATTAATTACATAACACATAACAACATACTCTTGCCATTAATCAGGAAATACGTTTTAACGATGGAGAAAAATAAAAATGCATACCATCCGACTCCTCTCCCAAGGTGCCATCTACTTTATCTGGTTCTGGAGGCTTATCTGTAGTCAGTATTGGATCAGATTCCAGACTAGGCTCGCTCCAACCATGCATGTTCTGAGCACTGATACGGAATATATACTCTGTCTCTGGGATAAGATTCTTTACTATATATGATGTACTGTTTGTTTTTGTAACCTCACTCCAATGTTTTATTCTGTCCTTAGCTTTGCACTTTTCTACTGAATAATTTGTAATGATGCAGCCTCCATCATATGATGGTCCAGACCACATTAAAGTCACCGATGTGCGAGTTGCTGAGGCTGTTGGTTTCCCAGCAGGTGGATCAGGTTTATCTGTTGGCAAAATGTTGTAGGCATTTTAATGCAGTATAGTGAGCATAAAACAGGAAAGAAATGGTTCAGTGTTACTCCTAGATGTTTGACAGAACTGAATAAATAATTAGGCTAAACTAAAAGTTCTTCATTACTAAGGATATTCCATGTCAGTCCAGGGCAGTACTGGTCTATAATGGAGACACTAAATGTCAGTCCAGGGCAGTACAGGTCTGTAATGAAGACACTCCATGTCAGTCTAGGGCAGTACTGGTCTGTAATGGAGGCACTTCGTGTCAGTCCAGGGCAGTACTGGTCTGTAATGAAGACACTAAATGTCAGTCCAGGGCAGTACAGGTCTGTAATGAAGACACTCCATGTCAGTCTAGGGCAGTACTGGTCTGTAATGGAGGCATTTCGTGTCAGTCTAAGGCAATACTGGTCTGTAATGAAGACACTCCATGTCAGTCTAGGGCAGTACTGGTCTGTAATGGAGACACTCCGTGTCAGTCTAGGGCAGTACTGGTCTGTAATGGAAACACTCCATGTCAGTCTAGGGCAGTACTGGTCTGTAATGGAGACACTCTATGTCAGTCTAGGACAGTACTGGCCTGTAATGGAGACACTACATGTCAGTCCAGGAGTAGTACTGGTCTGTAATGGAGACACTTCATGTCAGTCGCCAGGGCAGGGCAGTACTGGTCTGTAATGGAGACACTCCATGTCAGTCCCCAGGGCAGGGCAGTACTGTTCTGTAATGGAGACACTATGTCAGTCTAGGACAGTACTGGCCTGTAATGGAGACACTACATGTCAGTCCAGGGCAGTACTGGTCTGTAATGGAGACACTACATGTCAGTCCAGGGTAGTACTGGTCTGTAATGGAGACACTTCATGTCAGTCCCCAGGGCAGGGCAGTACTGGTCTGTAATGGAGACACTCCATGTCAGTCCCCATGTAATGGGTCCATAATAGTGGTAATATTCTACAGGTGGTAATATGATGATGGTTATACTACAGGTTGTTGATAGTTGAAATCAGTAGATAAACCTTACCTTCAACAGACAGTCCCATAGTATAATTCTCACATCCAAATTCATTTTCCAATTTCAGTATAAACCGTCCAGTATCATCTACTTCAACAGTTTTAAAAGTTAATGTTGTCACATCTTCAGTTGTTTTTATACTAATTCTACTATCGGGTTTGATTTCTTTTTTGTTTTTCATCCATGTGACAACGGGGTCAGGTGTTCCAGTGTAAGTGCATTTCATTTCTGCCTTCTGACCAGCTACGACTTGTAGATTGGACGGACCTTTCAGTACCTTTGGTGGTGCTACAATAAATTTAGTAAAATTCTTTGAAACACATCTCAACACACCATGACTTCAACATTGCAACATCAAAAAATTTCTAAAAATTTAAACACCCAAAGTTTTTGCCAATTAGTTGTTTTTTTGCATGCAAATATCTTTTTTGAAATCAATAAAATATTCAACCTCATCAGGCTTTTACAGGATAATCACTGAATAAGTATTAGTTTTATTAACCCTTACACAACCAGTTCCCTTTTTTCATTACAAATTCAAAAATGGTCCTGTTTATAGTCTGCCCTTTCCTTCAGAAGATTGGCACAAAAATATTCATATTTTTTTTGAGTAAAAACTGAAAATTTACTCAAATTTTGTCTGTTGGCTCCAAAATTTCATTTCATTTCCAGAAATGTTGTAAAATATAAGAAAAAAGAGCAAAAGAATTTTGGTAGAAATTCTGGTGGTAAAAAGGTTAATATGTAATAATGAAGTACCTTCAACAATCAATGATGCTGTTGTCTCAACTTGACCCACTGAATTTTTAGCTCGGCACGTGTATTTTCCAAGATCCTGTTTAGTGACGTTTGTAATTACCAATATTACCAAATCATCATCTTCAAAATCAAACTGATATTTGCGACTTTCTTTCAATTCTTTCCCATTTTTAAACCAGAATATTGTTGGTTCCGGTTCACCAGTTATCCTACATTCTAAGCGCGCTGCACTGCCTTCAATGATTGGTTCATCTTCAAGTTCTTCAACTATCACTGGGGCAACTGCTTTCTTAGATGTTTGGATATTATTTACAGTACCGTTCAAGTGATTACTAATTGGTTTTGGTGGTTCTTCATTTGATGTAGTTTTGATTGTTGTCTTAATAGGTTTGATATCATCATCTTCATCTGCAAACAAGAAAACAAACATCAAACTTTAAAGCGAGAGTGTGGTCCCCTGCACACGCTCAGGAATTGAGTCCCAAGCGACGATAACAACACACGCCAAAACCGCAAAGGCTCATGGGTAGATGCTTGTTTGTAATCAATGACACGCTATGGCCATCTGATATTATATATTTGAATTAAAGCTGAGGATTTCAATTTTTTATAAATGCATTTATCTGAAATCTGGCCCATGCAATGGTTGAATGTTCATGAACTCTGTCAGTTAGAACACCTGTACATGTACAGGGTCCGAGTAGCTTTTGTGAAATCTGGCCTATGCAATAGTTGGATGTTCAAGAAATTCTGTCAGAACACCTGTATATTGTTAAATTTCATAGCATCACAGTAGATTTTGTGAAATTTGGCCCTTTTCATGAACACAGTGGTCAGAGAATATGCAGTCTACAGTCTATATATAAGTATTAAAATGACAATGCATAGAGGGCGCTCTTCATGGTCTTTCACATGATGTGAAAAGTGATCAATAGAGTTTTCTAAAGTCAATACAATTCAATGAAGCAGAAACATGTTGTCAAGACACTGCAATTCACTGGAATGATTAAAACCAAGGTCATGCAGGTGTACTGAAGTTTAATTTGATTTTATTGGGAACAATTCGAGTCACTGAATAAAATAGAATAGAACTGGTTTTGATTACTTCTTGATATTTCACAAGAATTAAAATATTCCGTCCCCAAAATCCCAAACTGTAAGCACAGTGAACACATGAGTAAA